AGACATTATGAAACAATATGACATTTTGAAACACTTTTAGACAATTTACAATATTTTTTAGACAATTTGTGGAACACTTGTAGATAATTTCCAATATTTGTTAGACAATTTGTGAAACACTTTTTGACAATTTGTGAATAAAATTTACAATCATAACAGTGAGAAGACAGTTTTCCGAAAAATACATATTTTTAGACTGTATACAATATTCTCAGACTGTATACAACCTTATTAAACAATCTACAATCCTTTCAGTAAATATACAAACTTTCAAACTATTTAAAACATTCTCAGACAATTTAAACACAAGTTCTAAAGAGAGTTCCAACATTTTCAGAAAATATGCAGCATTTTTGACTACATAGAACCTTTTAAGACATTTTACATAAGGAAATTCAAACATACATAAGGAAATTACGTTAGAGCATTTTGCCAGAAAATCTGACCTACTAATTTTAGGAACGATTTTTATAATTAAACCACTTTTTTTTTGTAGACCTACTATATATTAGGATGTTCAATAACAAAATGAACTTTGCCCACACAAGGCTTTATTAACTCCGAAGAAACGGCTCGGCGGATCTCTACTAAAAGATCTACGAAAACACTGGTAAGACAAATTAAATACTTTTATTGATTTTCCTTATGCATGAAAATATAATTTGTGTATGTTAAATTTTATATGCAGAAACATTTCATTTCGATTTTTTGCGATTACAATAACTTACCCTATGATAATATTTAGACTAAGACTGCGGAAGATCTAAAATTTAGAATAATATCTAACAAATAGAAAAATATTCAAAACAACTGTTTAGTTTTAATTATTTTAATTATCGATCATTTTTAATCCTAGAATATTTAATTACACACCTATTTCCTTCAAGTTGTTACTATAAATTAATACTAGTAATTCTCGGTTACATGTTTTATGTTAATGGCAAATGTAAAGATAACATACTTATTGCATTTATAAATAGAATATTTGAATTCGAACTAATGTTATTTCGTTGACAGTTTCCCGCTCTGACCATAGATAAACTTCTTGACAGTTTCAAAAGTGCCAAAAAGAGACGCTTGGGGACCGTTGGCGCCACTTGCACACTCCGCAGTCGCACATCTTCGCACATATCTATGGTTAATGGCGGAAAGTGCCGCCAAAAAATTCATTCTTTCTTTTGGGACTTGCCGGGCGAGAACATTACATCATTACATCATTACATCGGAGCACGAATAACAAGACGACGGAGCCCCTGCCAGGAGAGCACCCGATTATTCTGGTGAGTTGTACTTGTGCAAATTATATTACGTTTTCGAATTTACAATTCCATTTTGTGGTTAAAAAGTGTCGTTGCGTGAAGCGTCGATAGTGACATTTATTACAAGTAATTGTGCACGATTTATTTCGGATTCGGATTCCGATTGAAATCATTCCTCGTGTCTTCATGTTTCGGGCGAGAATTTTTTCCAAAGTTTATTACTACAAAATCAGCGTTCAATAAAAAATGCCATTGCTTTATGCTTGCGCAATCCTATTTTTAGATCAGAAGATTTGAGAAAGGGGTCCGTCGAGACTCCATTTGAATACAATCACTACGTTTTCATGAATTTTAAAGCAAAGATATTATGTAATCAAAATGCTTTTTTATAGTTTAACTAACCATGTGCTTGATTTATCTCGGGTAATGTTACACAACTCGATCCATCACTCATCTTGTACCCCAGCTGTATTTTGTGTAATAATTATAAATTTAATATGGAAATATTTAGTCGACCAGGGCTGAGGTTTAGTATTGGAAATCTGGCAGACTTTATGGAACATAATTTAGGAAGTGAGCCTTTTTGTAAAGTTTTTACTTTTTATTAGACTCGGTTGCTTTAGATTCTACTTCATCACTTTTTTTTTTATTAAGGTTATTTGCATAAAATGATTTAGGTATCATTGAACATTACAATTTGTTTTAAATTATATCAGAAGTTTTAATATTTCACAACTTAGGTTGTACCTGTGCAAGATTTCTCACTTGTGCTCGTCTCATTCGAAGCATTTTATGTTTTTTTTTTTATTAAGTATAAAATAATGATTGATACAATTTTCATTTGGTAATTTTGTATGTGCATTAATTAAATTGTTGGATGATTTTATTTAAAACTGATAAAGAATTCTATTTATCTTTATCGTAGTAGGTACGAATAAGGCTATAGATGGTATGACTTATTGAACAAGAAGTGTTAATATTCATTGGATTATTATTTATTTGAGATATAGGTTTTTTTTAGATTATTATTAGCCACGCCATCCACATTATTCTATTTTTTTATTCTATATTTTTTAAATTTTAATTTCTTATTGAAAGACAATTATTTTTATTCTTCAATATTAAGGAATAAATTTTATTTCATTATGCTAATTCACTTTGATAAATCAGAAAAACCTTATATGTAGAAAGGTGGAGTCTGTTAATCATACAATCTGTTTTAAAGTTTTAAACTTTATCATGGAAGTTGTATCCGAAGTACAAAAATATTACTATTTCTTATTGTGAGCATCGGCTATTATTTTAGTAATGCATTTAGAATGATATTCATCATAATTTAATACTAATTTTTAAATTTTACAGGTTCAGGACAATGTTGTTTTTTATTCGTCTTGAAAAGCAAATTGAAGTAGCTTTGGAAATAATTTTGCAATTGAAATCACTTGGAGCCCCTGACAAATCTAGTGTTTATTGATAGAAGTTAATAATCTAAGGAAATTCATCCAATACCACAATAACTAGGTGTGAGTATCATTTTGCATTGAATTTCGTTAATTCAATCATTGCTTTTTGTATAAATCTTTTATCATTGATTTGCAATTATATTGATGTCCTTTAAACACTTTACAGATTTAAATTTGCCCTCGACGTCATCGCACTTTGGATGAAGTATTTTATTTATTTGATTCATATAAAACAATTAAACCCTAGATGATGAACTCAATG